ATCTGTTGCTTCATTCTTCTGCAGTACTACCAACCCCAAAAGTTCAAACCTCATATCAGACGTCCCCCCAAAAATCATGAAGTCTGCCTCAAAATCAGAGCAGGGGCGGGCAATTATTTTGGGCAGAGGGCCGCTTACTGAGTTTTGGCAATCAATCGAAGGCTGCATGACAGGCAGCCAGGGGTAGATAAATATGAATTTTCTAAATTTTTTAGGGGCCCCGCGGGCTAGATAGAACGGCCTGACAGGCCGCATCTTGCCCACCCCTGGTTTAGAGTCTACCCTTTGAGTTCTCATCCCCTGCTACAGTCCAACTGCGTTACATTACTCCAAACTGCTAAGTGTGTGATGCTGTGACCTTAATTATCAGGGCTAGTGCACACCCACATGACATATTCTAGGTTTTTAAAAAAGAAAACTGAAAAAAAAATGAGAACCCCATCCTGCACCACTGTTTTGACACCCACCTGGGTCACTACCAGGCCTGGAATCCCCCCTGCACAGTTCTCCGAACAGCAAAATGAACCTGCATCCTCCCTCTAATTCTAGTCACAAAGTATTTTGCCAATGGGTTTGACAGGATTTGCCGACAGCAGAAGAAATAGTGAAATATAGGCTCTGTCCTTCAGTGGGCACAGACTCTTCTACCCTCTCCACCATGACCCATTCTGTCATGTCCAACACGTTCCCTATTTGCATTCTCATCACCTCATCTGTCCACATGTCACACAGATGCAGCTCTTACTCCTCGTATATCTGAATCAGAAAGACTTCTGCTTGCTGCTTGGGTGCAGGCAAAGGGCATGTGACTGAATAACAGTAGTGTAACAAGGCCATGACAAGCAGGCCACCAACCCCAAGCACTGATTTAGAGGGGGCACCAGCAACACGCTGCAGCACTCTGCACCTGAAAATGGCATCTTATAAAGGGAAGTGTCAGGCGGCCTTAATCACAGCCTGCATAACCCATTGCGCGTGTGGCTTGCAGTATTAACAAGAATCATTTAGTTACAAATCCCAAGAGTAAGATATTTGGCATCAAGACTGACATTGCTACTAAGCTCATTTTTAGTGTTCCAGGTATTAGGTTGGCAGCACGAAAGACTGAGTCAACAAAAAGAAATACTGTTTATCCTCTGCACAACTTTCAGCTGAGATCATTAAAAAGGCCTGGGCTATTCTGCACAGACACTTCCTGAGCATAGTGATCTGCACCAGTACCTTTGACAAAAATATCCCTTTCAGCAAGCACCAGACAGCAGGTTTAGTGTTAACTGCTGCATATTACTCTAGGGAATGCTGCAGTCTGTACCACACACCTTTACACAGAAGCCAGGGATAAGACAACCCTTCCTATTCCTACATCTCTTCCTATTCCGACATCTCAAAAAATGTTGATCTATACAGCGTTCAAATTACACTGACTCTTGTGGGGGTCTGCAAAAATAAAATGAAACCAGTGCATTCATTAACAAGTCCACCTAAGTGAAGGTGCAACCTAATCGGAGACCCCCTCCCCCAGGTTACGATTTTCAAATCTTACTGGGGGGCACTCATCTTATGGGGGGTGGGGCTCAACCCCCAAGCTCCCCTTTAGCTTATAACCATTTAGATCCAGGTGCAAACTAAGTGGTTTTTGCATAATTGTATGGCAGTGAGAAGAACTAGAAGGCAAACGGAATCTAATGGGCCAGGGGCTCGTCAAAAGAAACTGCACATGCTGCATTGAAGATCTATATGCTTCCTGGACCAAGACAGTCGATTCAGTCGCACACTTTGAGCACGGCATATATAACAACCACTACAAAGTCCGTGTGAAGCTGGGCATGGAGAAAAAACACTAAGGTCCACAGGCAGTGCTGTAGCAAGGAGGGGAAGGGGACACTTAATCAAATGGAAGGAAGGTTATGTAATTAGCATATAGGGGCCCTCTGCACATGACCAAAAAAAACCTGGCTACTACTGTTATCTGCAGGCATGCAAAGGTCTTGTATTCCACATACTATAGGAGTATCTGCTCTTTAAGCCAAAAAGCGGTCAGCTCAGGGCTTCGCAAATCTTTCCACCTTTTACCTCATAGATCCTGCCTCTCCCACGTGCAATCAGTCATCATCTTTTAGACAACAACAACTGCTTAATGGAATATTAGCAAGGGAGTTGATTATTTTTGGCATCTTTTAATTAAATTTAGCAGCTGGAAACAAGGCAAGGCAGCACTATGTAACCAGTCAATATTGCCCTAAACACCAGCAAGCTCGGGAAGATGGCAGGAAATCCCCGAGGCATGGAAAGCACTTAGCCTACAGAATAGTGAAGTATGACACTCTCTAGTTCCAGCTGTGGGAACTTGTTAGACACCACCTAGACAGAGATGCTAGGTCTACAGTAGTACAGGTTTACCAGTATTTCTGGTAATCCCTAAATCTTTGTAATTTAATTGACAAAACTACTTTTGCAGATCTAGCTCATACCAGGTGGGAGATCAAAATAAACTATCCTGACTAATGTTCTTTTATGCTGGTATATCTGCAGCTACGCTAGGGCTTTGGGCAGTGTGGAAGCATCACCACTTCTTTTTTTTTAATTCCTAGATTACAGAGCCCCTGTTGCTATGACAATGCTGTAGCTGTGTTCAAAGATCCTCCTCCTGGAGATGTGGCAAATGTAGCAAAAGTGTGTGGGTGTGTGTGGGGGGAGGGGATCTACCAAATTAACTACACCGCTGCCCCCAAATGACATTAGCTAAACAGGTGGACGTTCAGCTCCTGTCAGGATACCTGTACAGGTTAAGGGGGCGTGACTTGAACCTGACAAAGCTTGGAAAACCGAATGGGGTTCACAGGAGATCCCAAATAAACTTCTTGTGACAGATCCAATGCAGAAGGTCCCTGGCTTTGATCTCCTGTGACACTCATGGGTAACTCTAATCTGTATCTGCACAAACCATGGGAGATGTGGATTCTTGATGCACAAATGGAAACTTAAAAACTCTTCAGTGTGCGATGTGGTCACCCAGAACAGACCATGGAACACATAATGACTCAATGCCAGATGCATAAATATGGAAGAGGTATTGCAGCGATACACCCTGCTGTTGCTGACGCAACTGTCTGGCTCAACCACCTAAATGTAGAAGTACAGTGTCTACATCAGCCATACAAAAGACGGGGATGTGGGACCTTCTCACATGCAACATACCTAACCCGCTATAAAACTAGTGTAGACCAGACCATCACATGAAATCTTCTGATCTGCTTTGCAATATTTCAGAAGAAAGTTGCTATATCTATATAAACACAAGATACCCTTGTCCCATCTTGCACCTCTCCTGGCCATTGGAGAGGATTGTGAATCATCTTACGCAGCCCATGAAAGCCCACAGTGACTCAGGAACTTAAGGCTGTGGCCTTAAAAAGATGTTAATTGGGGTCATTATTTAAGAGCAACAGGATACTTAATACTCTATAACACAAAAATAGTTCCTATCCCAAGTCTGTGGCTAGGTTTTCACTGCAACAAGGGTACAGGGGCTGGGTTTGGTTTTGTTTGCAGGGGGTGGGGGGTGTTAAACTGAGATTACATCAGTATAAAAACCTACTAGACAGGCATTTTCCTTCAGGCAGCAAGTTGAGATAAACCCCAGGTGGGGAGATAAGGTCAGTGATATCATGGGCGACTGGTGCCTCCTGAGTGGGGGAGGCCAATCGCTAACAGGGCACACTTCCAGTTTCATGGCTGGCGCTTCCAGGGGGTGCACGACTCATCTCAGTGCTAACCTGTGTGCACCCCCTATGCGTCATGATTGAGCGATATAGCTTCAGCTGGAAGGGACCTTACAGATCATTGGTTCCAGTCCCCCTGCGCTCGGGCAGGAAAGACTGGGATCAAGTGACCCCAGCAAGATGGGTGTCAAGACACTTTCTGAAGATCACCAGGGTGGGTGACTGTACCAACCCTGGAGGAAGCCTGTTGCAAATCCTCAGCACTCAACTTATGTAAAGAAGTGCTTATGCGAAGCCCAAAGCAATCCTCAATCAGCTTGTGCCCTCGACAGGCAGTCCTCGACTTAAGACGTTTTGAGTTGCAACGAACAGCACTTACAACATGTATAAATTGACACCCTGCTTCGACTTTCTGACATCAGTTTCGACTTTATGACGCTTGATCCAATGCAACGCCACGCCAGCGAACAAGTTTGCTGTGGCGCCCATCCCCCTGGAGAACATCTGTCCACACTTCCTTGGACACTTTCTCTAAGAAAGCAGACAAGACTCCAGAAAAACCTGCACCAAGACTCCTGCGAAGACACCAGCCAAGACCCCTTCAAAGAGTCCAACCAGAAGCCCTTTAAAAAGTCCAGCCAAGTCACCTCAAAGAAGTCCTTCCAAAGCAATGGGCTTGCTATTTACAATACATTAATGTTGTTATATTACTCCTCTATAATCGAATACAAAAGTCTGGGTTATTTTTGGTGAAAATAGGGTATGCGGCCCTAGCTCTGAAACCAATCCCCCATTTAGAGGAAAATCAGTTCTGAGTTACAACGTTTGGACTTAAGATGCGGTTTTCAAGAACCAGTTGTGTCAAGAGGACTGCCTGTATTTCTTGTCCTCCTCTGGGTGGGGGCCGACGTACACCCCTGACATGATTATCTGGGTCTTTTCTTCTCCAGACTGAAGAGTCCCCAGCCTCAGCCCGCACACGCACCCCCCTTCTCTCTCCTCTTCCCGGCGAGGAGGCTCAGCCCGTCTCCTTGCTGCCGTGCGAGGAGCAGCAGCGGCACCAGGGCGGCCCAGGGCTGTGGCTGCAGGTGCGGCCCTTAGGCCCGCGGGACCCGCGCAGGGAAGGCAGCGGGGGGCCGGCGCAGGGAAGGGCGCGGTGGTGTTTCTGCCTCGCTCTTCCCAGCCGCAAACTAAGTTTCTCCGCCCGCAACAAGCAGCCCCTCCCCGTGCCCGAGTCCCGAGCAGCTGCAGCCCGCCCTGCCCCTGCGGACCCGGTACCTGGCGGCGCCGATCCGAGCCCCGGAGGTGGGCGCTTGGAGGCGGTTTCGGTGAAACGCAGCCCGCAGGAAGTGGCGGCCCGGCCCCAGCGCTGCCCCGCTCGCTGCACCTGGGCGGAAGTGCAGCCGCAGCCG